TATTTTATATGTTTAATTTTGTTTTATATTTAATAATTAAAATTAAATATATAATTAATCAAAATTTTAAATTAAAAAATATTAATTAATTTTAATCAGAATATCTCCAGTTAACCTAATTCGACCTCAAATGAGTTTTGATAATTTTTGTCTTGGTCATATCAAATTTTAGGTCAACACGGTAGACCTACAAACCCAATGCATCACAGATGGGATGGACTAAATATTCGAATCCAATGAATTGGGTCAAATTTTTGGACCAGTTCCAATTTTGTCAAGTATAAACCTTAAGTTATTTCATTGTAACATTCATGTTTAAGGCACGGGTATTATCTAGTTTATTTAGTATAGCATATTCCATTTCATTGCACACAAACTTCAAGTTTCTTGATCCATTTTTTTGAATTTTGATGTACAAATGCAGGATGCTGTGATGTTAAGAAAAGCAGCAGTAGCATTCCGAAGTTAAAAGGTGCAAGATGTTTCTCTTTTGAGTAGTTTAGAAATATACAAATAATTTTTCAGAAGTTAATTATATTGGATTTGGGAGTTATGGAAAGGTACCTCTTCCTCCCTCCCTCTCTCTCTCTCCCTAAAAAGTAAAATGATAATTTTTAAATAAAATTGTGCTACTAAACCTTTTGCGCTTTATCTAATAATTTTACAACATGCATGTACTGATCTTAGTTACCATAAGTATGTACATATAATCATATATAACATTCTTAGATACATATATGGAGAGATAGATTTAAGGTTGCAAAACTTCTTTCGTTTGTGTTTTGCCACTTAGAACTCCATGATATGCCTTTAATTTAATGCTACAATGTTGGTGTAACACACATTTCTCTTTTTAAATATCTAACTCGAAGGATACATAACATATGTTTGATTACATATTTGAGGTGTAAAGAATAATTGACACAATAATGGGGCATCACTTCAAGACTTTGAGGTTTTATCTATGTAAGAGTTTCCAATTCTAGTTTAGTATCTTGGATTTATTTAGTTTGTTTTATAATTTCAAGAGGTCATTTTCTTATTAAGTTTGGAGTTTAGACTTAGGGTTTTGTACTTTATAAGTAGTCTTTTTAAAACATTAACTGGACTTGATGAATTGAAAATATTTTTCAAAAAAAAAACAAGAAAGAAAAAAAAAATTCTTCTACTTTGCTTCTTACCTTTGCTTCACTTTCTCTTGGTTCTACACCACACAGTCGCTGCATATATTCAAAATGTTGGCTTACAGTCCATGAGCATTTATGCAGACCACTAAATAGCACCTTCTCTCAAAGTACATTGATAATGCACAACTTCATGTGTTTTGCTTTGGTGTTTTCCTTTCACCACTAAAAAAACACTACTCTCTTTATCCCAAAATAATAAAAGTTATTTTATTGTCAGATTTGAGAATAATTTATGGTTTTATCTATGATAACCATAAAAAAAAAAAAAAAAAAGGTAAGGAGTGATTTTTTTATGGTAGTATGGATAAATAAAGTCAAGGGATAATGATAAAGTTAAAGTGAAAAAAAAATATTTGTCTCCTTTAAATATAAAAAAACGACAATTAATTTGGAATGGAGGGAGCAGTGTAATTCAAGAAAAAATAATAAGCAAATTAACCCTTCCATAATAAATTTCAAAAACAAATAAACCCTTGATGAAACTTTTGTGGCAAATCACCCTTGAACTTACAAATATTTTCCTCATAAGTCATAACCAATCTTAACAACAATTGAATGCACCTGTTCACCAAGATCAACTCTACATGCATAAGCCACACCCTTGAGTATGCTTCCAAAGGTATACCCATCAACATCAAACTCACATCTTTTCATAACTTTTAAAATCTTCCATGCAATAACTAAGTTACCAGAATTCACATGCCCAGCAATCAATGTGTTCCAAGATACAATGTCTCTGTGGGGAATTTCATCGAATAGCTTGTGAGCAATGCCCAGTTCTTTGCATCTCCTATAGCCATTTAATATATTATTTGCGGTATAAACGTCAACAAAGGTGCCCAATTTGATAGCGCAACAATGGGTTGTCAAAACCTTAAAAAATGTAGAAGTCGAATTTCCAACGAGTGAGTTCAGTGACCTCATTCACAAGTGAACAAACAAACCCGAACTTATTCAATAGGAAAAATGATGCCAACAGTTGTATTCTTGATCAAGACTCACAACAGAGGGCTTAAAATTTGGTCAATGTGATCAAAACCATTTCTCAAAACATGTTAGTAGAAAAGACATGCAATTTATTCAAAATTCAAGAACTTTGAGTATTGGGGATAGCAGTTCATAGCAGATGAGGTGAAGCAACTGGAACTAGGAAGATGAAAGTTACTTTGGCAAAAGTGAAAATGAAGGACATGAACTTTTTGAGATTTCACAATTAAACTTAAAGAAGGAGTGAAGGACCTAAGTGTAAAAGATTAAGAGTATGAACTCTAGGGGAAATTTTGGCTGTTGGGAGGGGAGGTTCACAACTAGCAGCAGGCAGCAGCTCGCCTCCTCCATGAGATGAGAGCTTTACGTCTTAAAAGGATGATTCAACTGAATAGGAAACTGAAATTTTATATTAGAAATTTTAATTTTAAATTTGAAATTTAAGAAAGGAGGAGAGTTATGTTTTTAAAAAGTATTTTATTTATTTTATTCCATCTTGACAAGCCTAGACTACAATAGAAATATTTCAAACTCGAGTTTTCAACATATTCATATGAGGAAAAAAAAAAAGAAAAAGAAACTGACCATGAACTTCTTATTAATATTTTTTTTATATATTTAATAATGAATTATACAACAGAATTGCTTTCTCATCGTGCATTAGCTGTTTGAACAAGATTGTCGGATTTCTCCTTCTTCATCAATCTTCACTCCAATGCCAGGGAGCTTCAAAAACGATTGGCCCCAACTCTGGGAGAAACTGTTTGATCATTGGCAAAAGCCTCCACTTGTTTCCTTCTCCTTACATCCTTTAGAAGAACAGAATCTGATTGGAAGAGCCCCTCGTGGGATAATAGATTTATGTAGTACCGATTATCGAATACAGAGGATGATTTGGGATCATTGTCGACAGTTGTGGATTTGCTTGCATCCGCAGGACACTTCTTCATTAGGTGATCTGCGTAGTTACTGTCTAGAGTTGTGTCAATCAATTTAAGCTTTCTCTTGGAGTCCTCTTGCAATGAGCCGATCCTATGGTATGAGCGCATCCACCTGTCAATAACACAATTGAAGGGAAGTAAGGAAAACTGTGATAGGAACAAGATACATTTTGGCATCTGTATTCATAATCCAAATACCTGATAAAGAAACAATGTTATCCAGGGACAAGACTTTGGACGAGTAGTTTTATCATCTCAGCCATTGTAAAGCTTGTATCTACAATGTTAGGTCTGACATTTGTGGCAGAGGATACCTCCCATTTCTCCTACCAGTGAGAATTTCAAAGCATTAGGATTAGGATTCAAAACTCAGGAAGCAAATACAGAAAGGAAGAGGTCAAGAAAACCAAAAAGCCAAAACGAAGGAGAGATTTTATAATTTCAACTGCATCTCGTGCAGCTAAGGCAACAATATATACACAAGAAACGGTTGCAGGACAGCAGATCTCGAGCACCCCTTTTGCTGAGTCAATGACTGAAATTCATCCAACAGAAGTGTTTGCTCGATCACTCCTCTCTGTCCCATTTCCTTGTAACAGCACAGATGCATCACAAACCAGTACAGCATGACAAAGAACTTGTATCAAACACAACGTTCATTACCTCCCCAGTTGTATTCTTAATGTAGATCAGATTGTGCACGGTTTACATTTTGAAGCTAGCAAAAAGACTCACCTCCACTAAACGGTCAAGGAACAGCAAGTGAAGGAGCTTCCCAGGGATTGTTGGATCCATAGCTGGAGCAGCCCTCAGTGTGTTTTTATCCATGAACTCAGCAGTAGGGCAGGAAGCTGCATAGAAATCA